ATATACGTACAGATTATATTTTAAATAAACATGAGACTCTTAATATATGCCTCAACAATCATTCAATAACGATAATAAGAAAAAAACGAGATACGCAATTGTGAACTTCGAGCTTCAGGCGAAACATGCAATCGTGTCTTCTCAACGGTGCAGTTGAACATTCCACGCGTAATTACTTCGGATTTTGCTGGCTAACGATAAACTGCCTCGCCTTCCCTCCTCGGCAAATAATGACGCTCCTTTCCTCGTTACCGCGGAAACATAGACCAACGGATTAGCATCGTCTGTCTTTAAATCAACACGAAGGCCGTCTTTAAAACGAACAAGAAAATTTCCTCCCCTTGCAATCGATATAAGGCAATTATGTAATATAACCGTGTTTTTCGATCCTGATTTTCTCGTCTCTGAATAACGCAAACACATTGTGATTACTTCGTGTATTTACTTGATATCGTGAATAGCCACTTAAATCGCAGAATTTGAATGAAGTTCTCAAAAATACAAATATTTCACAAAAATTTTATAAAATAGTATTTTTAATTATATAAATGTTGTGCATTTCTGATCTTTGTTCTCTCAATTCTTGTTGTGTTTTCTCAATTCTATACGGAAAATACGTACACTTAGAGAAAAATATTGTAGTAGGAACTCTGAAGATAACATATAAGATTTACATGTAGAATTCATATACAATTGAATAAATTATATTTTATAATTGCAATAACTATATACAATAAGTTTACTCAACAACGTGTGTACACTCTAAATTTCTTACAGTGAAATCTCATTCTAAGAAAATGAAGATATAATTACTTTTGAAAAAAAATGAAAATTTTACTTTTTGAAAAAGAGTGACAATTTTCACTCTTTTTAGAGTGAATTTTCACTTCAAAGGAGTGAAATCTCACTGCAAAAAAAGTGAGATTTCACTCTGAAAAAGTGAAAATCATTACTTTTTTTTCAAGAAGTGAAATATTTTCACTTTTTTTCAAGAATGGATGCATTTTTATTCTCTTGAAGTGAGTGAGATTTTGCTGCAAGAAATTTAGAGTGTACATTAACTCTAGACATATAATAAAACTTATATACATAGCTGTCATCTTATTTCTATATATAGTTTTTACTATCTGTATGTCTTTCTTTGATCAGTGCAATCACGTATTCTACACATCTTCTCAATTTAAATTCGAACAGCTTTGAGGCTGAATTAAATATCGATCTGTATCGATCTGTATTTCTTTCAAACATGAAAGTTTTGGTGTCTTAAAAAAGTAAAATCTACGAATGTTGAAGCACATTTACGACATATAATTTGTGTGATTCAGATTTATATAATTAATGATAAAATTCCTGCGAATATTCAGCCTTTTCTTTTCTGTCAACAACTCGTCAAACGTACAGTTCCGACAAAAAATTAAAATTGTTGCACCAAATTAAATGCATCAGCTCATTTCGATTTCATCAATCTCACTTCTGATCTCGTATTTGTATTACTAGGATTATTTGTATTACTAGGATGGATATATCATTGATTCGCCTTTTAAGCTACTCAAATTACACGTTATTCGGCAAATGTAAAAGGGCAAATGTACAATATATATTGCCGGTGATTTTCATCGCATCTATCATTACGAAAGAGAATACATTTACTGCGCGCGCGCTTCCTCGCTTTTATTCTTATTCAATAGGTGCGAAAATGATACGGCCAATACAGGTCATTTTCCTTCTCTTCGGGTTATCGCATCGAGATAAATAAATTTGTTAACATTGGTTGACAAATGTTTGATCTTGTTTAACATCGTGGTATGCCAACATTTACACAGTAATAATTTTCATGAAAAATGCATAAAGCCAATATGTTACATATATCATATGATACATTATATCATATGATAATTTAAACTTTTATCTTTTTGTATTGTTTATATAATATATATTAAATAACTTATATATTTAATCAATTTAATTTAATTTTAATGTATTAATTTAATTGTAATGTTTTTAATTTTATTTTTATTTAAGAGTATCATTGAATTGCATGATTTTCTATTAAAATATTTTATATTTCCAAAACGTTTTTTATACAAACAATATTTGTTTGAAATTAGAAATCGCTTGTTTTATATATATATATACTTTCAATTTCCTATAAGAAAGATTAGAAATTACTATTAGAAAGATAAGAAATTGCTTGTACTTTTGCTTGCAAATTCCTGAATCGGATATCGTGTATTGCATTGAATGAATTTCTTTCTTATGCAATAAAAATTCTGTGAAGAATGAAAAAATTTTCGACATAGATGACATTACGTTAGAATCCTCCAGAAATCAAGGTGGAGGAAAAAAGCCCCGCTATATAGTAGTTCCATAGCTATGTTGTCCCGCATTCCGCGATGAGTTCCCACACATACGCGCGCGTGTGCTCACCTCCCGCCTTTCGATTCACGCATTCCCAACGAAAGAGAGGTGACTGACGACGCACGGCGGACAAGAAAAGGAGAAAACTTGGACCATAGTGAGGGAAGAGCTGAATGAAAAAAGGAGAAGAAAAAAGGTAGAGGGACTGGGTGAGCACGCTCGAGGATGGAAGGGAGACAAAACGGAAAAGTAAACGAGAGTGGGGAACTCTGGTAAAGATATTCCTTTGCGCAAGGAATATAAGGATCCGTAGTGGGAGTCTCGTTGGGCGTAGCCTTAATAAAGCCCGCCTACCATCTCTCTTTGAGAACCACGTGCTCTCCACGTCTGCCAGACAATTTAAGCATAAGAGATGTCAGAAACTGCTAGCTTCGTGCTATGAGGAAACGAGAATGTATAGTGATGAAATAAGTGCAACCCTTGCGTTCACTAACAGTCGGCGATTGCAATAACCCTGTCGGGAAAAGGTATCATTATTAAAGATGCCTTCAGGATCGTCAGAACTGAATTATATGTATAAATTCGTTTCAAAATATCGATAGAAAGTTAAATTTATGAAAGAAAGAGAGAAAGAGAGAGATAGAGAAAGAGAAGCAGTTTATAATATATCTTATAATAAATTAATATAAAATAATTTATATTTTATAATAAGTTATAAAGTAAATTATATCTTATGATAAAATTATAAAGTTTTAAAATTAAGTATGCTTATCAATATGATTTATAGTTCTAAACCTGATGAAACAATTTTTTCTTATCAGCATCTTATATATTGCATAATCCACATTTTTTATTTTAAACTTTATATTTATAAATCAATTTAAATAATTATTTTTATTTCCTTCGCAAGCAGCACGAGGAATCTGTTCTTCAACAATGGCAGTTAATTAAACTTCAGAACATCTTTCATTTCAAAAGGTAGATGAAAGCATGAAAGGGAACTGGAAAGAGAAGCGGAAATGGGAAAAATAATTATTAGCGAATACTACGTGAGATAAGAAAATGATGTCGCTGACGAAGAAGAGAAAGAAGCAGAAGACGAACACAGCGGGATGGAACAAATCGAAGAGATCGTAGCTAACACTGGTGGAGGAAGAGAACGGAGGGAGACAAGAGGCGGGAATCAGGCTGAGAGAGGCGGGGCAAGATTTAATCGGTCTTGGGGGGGTCCAGTGGTCTCCACCGCATCAGGGGGGAAGGGAGAACGTGCCGTTCTCTCTCTGAAGAGAGATCGGCTCTTCCGCGGAGGAGCGCGTGCAGTCGCTAGCCGAGGCCTATACTTGCCCGTCGAAGGGTATTGGTTCTCCGACTCGTTGCACCATACCCCCCAAGCAGCGCGAAAGCAACGTCAAACTAACAGGCAAACAGAGAAAGAGAGCGAGAGAGAGAGAGAGAGAGAGAGAGAGAGGGCGAGGAAAAGAAACGGAAAAAATAAGAAAGACAGAAAAAAAGAGAGAAAGAAGACAGAGAGAAGGAGAGGGTGCAAAACAGAAAAGGGCGAATAGAACATCTCTCCCCTTCATCGCCTTACATCGTTGTATCCCAACACGAGCACGCGTGCACGCACGCCCGCGGCAGGCACGCATGCACGCGCGCACGTCACCACCACCGCCACCGCCACCGCCACCGCCACCGCCACCGCCACCGCCACCACCGTCACTGCACGTTACCATTCGAAGGACCTCCCCATCGAAGAAGCAAAGAGTTGGCACGGACGGTCGACGGATGAACGAAACGGAAGGAGCAGAGCACTGGCACGCGTATACGTCACCCCTGAGAGAGATTAGGCGAGAAGACCCCAAAAAGACACCGGGTCCGGTGGCGTTTCCGAATCTGGGTGTTTTACCTGATCCTAAGCAAACGGTTGGAGGTCCGAAACACACAGCATCCAGAGGGTTGACAGGTATAAGACCTTTTCGAACCATTTTGTACCCGGTCGTCATCCGTCTCTTTCTCCCACCACCTAATCGCTCGGTCGCGCGCTCTCGAAGGGTGACACCCACCCTTCGAGAAGGGCCTTTCGGGAGGGGTGAATTTTCGTGGTACGGTTCACATCGCCCTGCAGTCACAGTCAGCAACAGGATCGTCAACTAAACGTCACGGTGTTTGTTAGATATAACAGACATTTTGACAAGTCTCTGTAAGGAACACTCGACCTAACGCAAAACGACAGATAGGGAGATAACTTTCCAGATCAGTGCACGGAAGTAGTTGCAGAGAGATAGACGATTACATTTCTTCGCTCGAATACCAGCTCCGATACGGTTCGCCGAACGTCGATTTCATGAGGGTGATGCGGCGATCAGTGACCGTTATCGAAACACCCCGGAAGGATCGCGCTTAAATCTCAGGACGATCTTATCAAGCGATTAGCATCGGGGTCATGCACATGACCCTGTGAGTGCGATTCGAAAAGAATCCGAGTTCGCGTCGACCAAGTATCAAGAACGTGAGTATCGCGAGAAGATGTTCGTTCAGTGATAGTGCACGGTGTTAGCCCTTGATCAACGATAAGAAACGACAAGAGCGGATTTGCACGCTAGGACATTCTGCGATTACGAGACACGCGAGACACACGCCGGAAGATGAGGCTCTGGATGTTTCTCACCGTGCTCTCGGTGACGGTGCACGCGTCGCTGGAGGAGATCACCAGGAACAAAAATCGCGGCAGGGGATCCACGTGGTGGTGAGTATCAGGGAGCGAGCTTTGGTTACTTGGAGTTTTATTTTAATACACCTTCAGTATATAGTCGAATTCCTATCTCGTCCTGTCCTTTCTCTCCACAAACGCACGCTTGTAAATACATCGCGTCGTAAAATATTTTATCGCCGGCATTAGCGCGCGAAGTTTTTTGAAATAAATTATGGTTGCACTGAACGGTTAATAGACCTGTTGACAAAGTCATTGAATGGACTTAAATAATCGGAGGGACTAGTGGGAAGAAGGACAATATATGTATTAGAATTATATGCATATCTTATATTACAGAAATTTCCTCAATTTCTTATTATTTGTTGCATAAATTATCAATAAAAATATTGAATTTAATTTATATTAAAATTATCTTCAAGGGAAAGAAAATTTATAAAATACTCAATTTTCCTTGACAGAAAGTTTCACTTTCTCATTAATCCATTTGATCACATTATTCATTTATATTATTCTTTTTGTTATAGCTAATGACAATATTTAATGATTACGGACAATTTACATGATTCGAATTGAAATGCATGCATATTACGTAAAGGAATAAACTTGACCTGGTATTTTTAATAAATAATAAGAAAAAATTTTCTATTACTGGATCTTGAAGACCGCTCATAAACGCTAACGTCACAACTAATGATTCAAGCGTTAATTGAGATCATTAATGCAATCGCTGAATCATCAGAAATAAAAATCGCGTTGGAGGAATCAGTTCCACATTCCTGTCCTTGATCTTCGACCAGTTTGCACCAGCATGAAAATTGAAAGCTTTATCACTTTTTCGCTTGTTTTTGTTCTTCATCAATTACTTTTATTAATTAATCTCTTGACAAAAAAAGATTGAGAATTTATTTATCGATTTACATAAAAAAATTCAATTATTTGCACAGTAAAAATGAAAAAGAAATGTCGAGATATATGATATTACTTTTGTTACTTTAAAGAATTCTGTAATAGAAGTAATTAAAAAATATCAGAAGGAATTTTATATAAAATACATATTTATTTAAAATATAAATATAATCTTTCAATTATATACAATAATCTCTCTCAATTTATCAAAGTCTTTTATAGAACTTTCTAAAAGTAATCAAAGTTATATAATTTTAATATATAAAATTCTTTCTTTTTCTATTTTACATCTGTACTTTCTTCTGCACACGTCTAACGCATTTCCCAAAGAAACGACAGCATGTACAGAAATACATTATGAAGAGATGTCTCGCAGGACCATCGCCGTTTCTCGCATTTCTTCCTTCACCATTGCATTCGACGTAGTTTCTTCCAATTAAAATGTAATTCTCCGCATGAATCGAATTGACCTTCGTGCGTTAATTACTACGATGTGCGCTCGTGCGCGCACGCATTAACACCTGTCTGCCCCTGCATTTATCGTGCTAATCGCGGGAGCAACGTTGTTTACGCGCGTGACCACCATGTCGTTATTAATTCATTAATCATAATTCTAACTCCACGTTTCGATTCGCGATTTCTTGCACACGATATGTGTTAGATAATGACTAACTTCATTAGTCCGATCATAAATAACGCGCGCGATCGCAGAGCTCGTATTCGCATGCTATTCTGCGAGATAACTACGGCGAATATCCACCTATAACATAAATCATTGACGATATATCAGCCATGAACTCATATATTTTCGCGTAAACTTCGCACGATGCTTAACAATTTGTTCGTTATTGCCGCTAAATACATCGACACGATCCGAAGCGATCCGATGGATCGCACGTTGCTTACGACGACCGAGTCAGTTCAACTGACATACGTACAGTACTGTGACGTATTGTTCAGCATTACCAGCAATTAAATAGATACAAACATGTTTGTTCTCGATTTTGCCATAATTGTATATCGCGGAACTTAATGTTTCGATCAATGTTTTTCTATGATTAATTTCAATTGAAGATTGTTAAGTGAAATATATGTCATTCGGTCATTACTGAAAATACACGCTATTAAAACAGAAAGCAGAATCTTGTAGTTTTTTAACGAGCAGAACTTGAAAATTTTTAATTTAATAACTATTTAATTTAAAAAATCTGTGATAATAAATCATTAATCTTTTTCTTCTTTAGCGATATGTAGTTAGGAACATTAATAAAGACTAATAGGGAATTTAGTTGAACATTGATGTATATTAAAACCATTATACACTGATTTAATCTGAATGTAAAAGCAATATTTTTTTTATTATAAAATACATATTTTATCAAACAGTACAATAAAGTATATCAAAGATTATGCGGTTTCTATATTTATATTAAAGACACATGTCCGACGGCATTAGTGCATTCAACTAAATTCATTGCAGCAGGATTAATTTAAGAGAAAGCAGCGTATATAAATAGGAAAAAAAAATGGTCAAATAATATCAGACTGAAAGATAGATAAATTATATTTGTTTCTATCAATATAAATTAACTTTAATCTTGGTTTAATTTACTTTTTATCTTTTTCTGGTTTAAGAAAAGGATTAAATTAGAAAGAATAAATTAAATCAAGATTTAACCAAGATTAAACTAGACCAAGATTTAAGAAATAGACTAGTAAAAATAGATTAATAATGTAGATTAGTAAGAAGGAAAACATCGAGAATATCACGAATCTATCATTCATATCGATTCGAGATATATAGAAATCAATCGATTAGCAGATACAATCATGACGATCGATAGATCGGCTAAGAGTCGATAATTCGGTATACATTTACCATGCATTGTGGGTGGTCGTATTTGATATTAATAGTTATAGTAATAGTAAACGATTAATTGTAGACGTGGGCAATAATTACTAATCTTGTGGTGTGCGCTTACATGGAGACTTTCTGTATTTTTAAAATTCGTGTGAGCGTGACAAATTATTACTTTTACCGTCGTTAATTAAATCTTGTGCATTTTTTTATCTCCGCGAAGATATACTCGAACTTCATTATTATAAACGGTATCCGAAATATTTTTATTGTATGCTGGCGCGTATCGTCAGACAGAGTCGTTTCGCCGCCTTAGGAACAGATTGTATAAATAGTTATTGACAACAGGTTTTCCGAATATCAAAATTAAAATCTGTAAATTTCTCCTTTCTCAATGTTGACAGATTGTTTCTCAATGTTGACAACAATCTTGAAAATTGTTTATCATAATATGATGCGAAATTTACTTTATGTAAGCAAAATAAACGTATGTGTATATTTTTAAAGTCTTCTTAAATGTATATATATATATATATATATATATTTTGACACAACAGGCCTAATTTATTGTATATTTGCATATAGAAAATAGAAATTTTTACAAATAACTTTTCTGTATTCATGTATTTTTAAATACAACTTGATGCGAACAGATCTAATTTATTGTGCAGTTCATGTAAAAAAAAAGAAATTTGTAATTTTTATATATTATATTTAAATATAACTTGTCTTAAATGATCATCCATATTGTTAACAAGAGCAAAGTAATAAGAACTTCATATCTTCTCCTAAAGAAGGTGTTATGTCTTACAAATGAGATGCTAAAAGGAAAAAGCTTCGCTATTAATCATTCACATTTCATATTTTAAATGAATATCTTACCGCGCAATCATGATTCTCTCCGATCATTACAATATTATATCTATTACTTTCCATCGCGAACCGGTAATCTCAAGTGTGGTCGATTTATCGACGTGGTCCGCAGAGACGGGAATCAGAAGCGAGAGGTACACAATTGTGACAGCGTAGCTCTTTTATTCACATGGGACCTAGTTTTCTAGCTTCTAGATTATTCATTGCTTTTAAACGTTTGTTAACGGTTGACTCATCGACATTTAATGTTTCCGATAACTTTATGAGCATCTGACATGAATCTTCTTGAAGTAATGCCTTCTATTCTTCATTTTCAAACTTTTTCAGCTGACCAATGCGCTCTTTGTCATTCACGTTAAAATCATTGTTTTTAAATCTTCTAAATCAATCTGTGCAAGTTGTTTCAGATAGAGCATGCTCCCCATAGCTTCCACTAGCAAACGATGACTTTCAGCAGTAGATTTCTTGAGATTAAAACAGAAAAGTAATGCTTCCCGCAAATGCTCTTTTTTTTTATACAAAAATCAACATTGTTTAGTTTATAAAAAGTTTAGTTTAGAAGAAAACAACTTAATAAAGAAAAAGTTAAGATAAGGAATTGCATCATAAATATATACTGCTAGTTTCCGGTTAATTGGCACCACTCTCTTTACACTCACTCTATGGATTGCCAATCAGAACATTTCCCGCGTGAATTAAATGGTAGACTAGAGCCGTTACGATCAAGCAAAAACGAAGCTCAAGTAAAAGTATGGCGTCTCTCGTCTGCTTCGAATCAACAGAAGCGATAAAGCCCTCAGAATCCAGCCTATTGACAATTTCCAGACGAGAGAGATCGTTCACTAATTACTATCCCAGTTCTGAAGTTGTAAGCGATGATGATTTAATGAAATAGTAAGAAATAGAAATAGTAAGAAATAGAAAGAATAAGTATCTGCAAAATCATCATATACGTTAAATTAAGGTACGATGTCACATGGAATCAGAAATAGAAAACAAAAACAAAAACGGAAAAGATTCTGGGCCTATTCCTGAAAAGGAAAGTATACAAAAGACTAAGAGATGATACGTAATACACTATAGTATAATTTTTCGAGTAATTATTCAGTTTAGCCCTTGTATCTCAAAAGCAATGAAATTATATGTTTTTTTTTTTCAAGAATAGAGGCCTTAATCAATTAACTAGGTTCTTATTAAGTTAATCCATTGCCTCCACCAATTGCCTCTTCCATTTTTTATTCCATTCCGCTATTTCTGATGCCACGTGATCGCATTCTCCATGTGTGGCGAAGATTGCATATAGATTACGATTGACAAATAAATCTCATAGTTTCGAGATCGAGCCGATAATGATAAAACTAGCATGCGCATGATACAAATTAAAGGCATTCAAGTT